TATATATATATATATATATATATATATAATGGACGGAGAGCGAGATGGCTCGGTGGTTAGAGCGCGAATTTACTGACCGGAAGGTCCGTGGTTTGAAACCGACCTCTGCCTTTCGAATTCCTCTGTCTAGACTTGGACAACCTGGCCGTATCCAGGCCCTCGTGCTTCCTTCGGGTGGCATAGCAGCTGCGCTCCGAAAGAATGCTACAGCAGAAGGATTTTAATAATACGCTGGACTGAGCCGAAATTGGGATATTACCACAACATTCACTATTACCTTACGGGCATTTCTGTAAATATTTTTGATACCGGCATACGGCTTTGAACTAACTGTGATGCTAAGGAACCATTAGCTAAGGACAGCCAGGGCAAATCCTTTCAATTGAATACACTGTGTTGCTTGACCATCGAGAGAGAGCCGAAACTTTTAAGATCAAAAGTTCATTGGCATCCACAGCAGTTAACCCAAGAATGCATCAACGTCAGGCTGGAAAATTAGCATAGTACGATGGCAATGCAATCGACTTAGAGGCGAAACTATGAATCAATACTTTGCTCGCGCTTATTATATTCAGGTCATTTCCAACAATTAGATTAATCCTAACCGTATTGCACCGCAAATGCCAGTAGTAAATCCCTCAGTCTTATGTGTTCTAAAGTCCTGAGGTCAAACTCAACTGGGTCCATGCATTCCACTGGCGCGCACTGGTGGCGAAAATCCCATTAGTTAGGGAACGAATCAGCGTCATGCCGCCCTGAATAGCGTCAGGTCACTTAGCATCTCTGTGAATTCTACGTAGGGTTGTTTTCACGCCAGTTTGATGGCATTCTTATGGTCATTCATTCTTCCAGAAAATCGAGTTACTAATCAGAGTTGTTCATTTTGTTTTACATTGTTCAGATATGGCGTTCGATGCCCGGTCGCATCTCTTCTAACACAGTGTGAGGTTTATCTGCGACGACTTCGATTGTTCTTTACGAGCAAGTCATTCGTTAAGAATGAGGGCGAAAACTAACAACTGACAGTGTACGCAGCAGCATCCGATGGGTTGCTTTATTACCCAGTAAAGAAAATTAGATCTTCGCGGCCAAATATGCAAATGTGGAACCAGCATGATCACTTCCAACAGTGGCTTTTTGATCACACTCAGGTTACGATAAGGTTATTTCACATACAAAACGTAGACTAAACAACCTTAAGCCGGTGTAAGCAAAGTTTTCTCCCTTAAAATGCATTTATCTAATTATAACGGATAGGCGCATTTAGCTTGTTGGGTTCCTGTCGCAAGCGTTACAAAAATCCATTGAAAATTTCAGATGAAAATGTGTCAGTATGATGCGCGTGACGTGAAACGACCTGATATTTTTCAATGTTCAACAGCAACGTAACTGCACAATGACCACCGTGTTATTTATGGCACACCAAACCTTGTCGGGTCGGCGGTAACAACGTCAACCTGAAAGGGGACGGATGTTTTATATATTCATGCGTTAGATTGTATACTCGGCCTATTAGTTCTAACACAGCTTGTATAACGGGGACTTTGTTTGACCTTAGAATGCAACTCCTTCGCATCTGCCCAACATTCCATTAATGCTGCCTTTTGATTAAAAATACTGCCGTTACCTACTGGCCAATATCCGATCGCGTATACAACAGTTGTGTGTGTGTGGTGTTCATAGGTTCGGGTAAAAACTCTTGGATTAGAAGACTGCAAGTAAGTAATAATGGAAAGTGTTAGATCCTGGAAAGTTCATCCTAGAGGTGACATTCTGACTCCATTGGGATATAATGTGGAGTGTAGAAGGGTCGGATATGTGGCCTTTTTGATTGGAAATTAAAGGCTGTTTGCCACACGATCACACACCCGCCGAGGTGAGGAATTTCATTTAAGGATAAAACTGGATTTGCATTATTCGCTGATTTAATCAGGCAGTGCGTAATTCTTCAAACGGCAAACGGATTCGCAGCGGTGATGTGGTAACCTACTGACCCGGTTTGTTCGACGGCCTACCGCGTGCTGACCGACACGCGTAAAGCCAGTCGTTTACTCTGCCGCACTGAAAGGTTTACTAATCACTCTATCCACTCACCCTCATCTGATACAATCAGAATATCCTATCCCGTGGTCTACATGGATTAGGTTTCAACCAGGCACTTCCGAGTAGCCTGATTACCATTTTCTTTTCTTTTAGAAAGAACTTCCATTGTGTTTGACTGTTGCTGCTTTCCTTCAACGAATTCAACTGCACCGAATTCTGTTGATTATTTGCATCGTTTTTTTGCGCTTTCTGTGGGCAGTATCAGACGTCGACCCAAGTCATTAGGCCGCCTCTTTTAGAGTGTGTGTAGTCCGTTGGACTAAACGCCATTCATCGCTTGACATTGGAATTCGACCGGTGCTGTCCAGATGGTTACAAAACACAGTCGGTCCACAGATCCAACGCCGAACAACAGAGAGATTCTTTCGTAACGGTTGCACATCCAATCAGGCAGATGTGCTGTAGTGAACCAGACGAATTTAGTTGCTGTGTAGACGAATTTAGGGAAGAAATGAAGCGTATCATAGGACGAACTTTTTTCTGGTTGCGTCAGAAAATCGTACAATGCAAATTCGTCTTTCCTTAGTGCCAGTAGCCAACCCCCGTGACATTTCTAAATATTTTGTGCGTTTTTTCGTCCAGAATCACAATTTTCAAGCCTATAGGTTGGGATACTTATGAACCAATTTTATACCTACTGTTAGCTTTATGTAGCTAAGAAACATGGTAGGAAATATTTTTGCTGCAGCTACTGACTAGGCATACTAAAACAGCTACAATAAATGGATCGGTTAGTGGGTTAAATACACTTGTGCATTTACCAGTGGGGTACGTAAAATAGATCAAATGATTGCAACTGACAGCAAACTCTTTAGATAAAATGTATGACCTGTCCGTCAGCGCACTCACAGTGCATTAGACCACAGTCAATTCGCCGTCACCGTTCTCGTAAAACTGCAGTATTCCAGTTGCTAAAGCCCGCCAGATGGAAAGGGGACTTAGTCTCAATGGTGGGGTGGCCTTAACTGACAAGATCGCACTCTGGATCTTTGCTGGCAGAAAACGACGCTACGGAGTTTCCATGGAAATATTCCTAAACAAACTCTTGTAAGAAGAAGGGCATATACAGATGTATTATGGTGATTCCGTCTCAAAACTACAAATCTGATAGACCATTTTTTCACCTATATCGAAACTTGTCATCTATCTGCAGGACAGCTTATGTGATTTCCCGAGTGAAATCCTGAAATGCACTTGCAAGTTACGCGCATTTATCCTTGGCTTATACAGTCAATATGTCATGTGTGGGATAATGTATGCGTCCATGCTTCAGTCTCCAAGCTGTTCAGCGTACTATCATTTCTAAGTAGTTATTAGAGACTGAGAAAAGCTTAGATATATGAATTTAGACCAGTAACTATCCTCACTCTATTTATTTTTAATTCAGATGCATGTCTCACTAGCGCGCTGCTTTCACCTATTCTTCTGGGTCTGAAATATTACGGAGTCCTATAAACTGGTTACAGAGAAGTTCCGGATGCACTATTTGCAACAGCTGTTGAAACCTGGTGGAATGTATGCCATCTCAACCTCTAGCTAGACCACAAGCACATACAGGGTATTATTTCTCGGACCATTTGCATTACCATAATACTTTTCAGATCTTTCAAAGAGTCATTGCAGTATTGGTCACAAAGAGTTGAACATCATCGTCACCTTTGAGTCGACATTTGGGAAACGCCCGTGAATTTCAACTCAACATGTGTTAGCAACGTTCCTTTTTGATTTACAAAACAGACTCGAGTCATAATTGCACACCTAGGATAGGATCTGCATTTGTACATCTATGCACGCCAAGTAGGTTCGGCTTTTGTGGAGAACAATTTCGAATTTTCCATAAATATGTTCAGTTGCACAAGAATTTGGTTTTGACAGGAAACTCAACTGAATCCAGTTGAGTTACTTATTTATGTTGGTCGAGTTAAAGTCCAGGTAAAAGAAAGTTGATGAATACCCAGGGATCACACCCACCTAATGAGCCCCAAGAAGGGTAAAATCGCTAGTGAGTTGTCGAGTTTCGAGCAACCTAATGAGCAGCGTGTTATCTTTAAGCAATGATTTTGGATTTGATTCTTCACAACGTTTCAGCGTTCGGCTAGAAACTTGATTTTTGGAGCATACAATCAAGTGAAATCTGAGGTTAGGAGGATGTGGCAAGCAAGCATTGAAGGAACACTGTGTCCTCCTTAATACAATAACAGGGCCTAGGCAAATTCAAATCTCTATCTGGACACAAATTATGCGAAATTTGGTTCAAGGGAATAGGGATCTGGTAGATAAAGTCTATTAGTTGAGTGAAGTGCTGTCTTATCTTTTGTATTTTTGAGTCGAATGCTGCACTGAATCAGACAGTGAACTGGTTACACCGGGCAGTTACTTTGGATATACATTTTACTTATTCCATCAAGTGAGCAATAAAATGGACTGCTGGACAATTCGAGCCAAACAAATTAGGTGCAGTACAACAACTGAATCCTATTAACTTTTCAATAATAGTGGATACAGAGGCTTTCTTCTCAGTCCGTACACCCTGATTGACCTCGGGGAGAAAATTCATACAAAATACCGGATCAAGTTTACGCTTTCTAAATCCAGAGCATGAAAAAGTTTCCCACATGGTCGGTTGAATCTCGTAAACTTATACGCCGGTTATTTCACCAGGGTTTGCATAGTTGTTTTCAAAAATGAGTAGCTTGCAAATTTTGCCGAAAAATCAAAGTATTTCACATTTACTCTTTTGATGTTGTTGTACCGCATATCGGAAACGCATTCTAAGCAATTTACATCTTTGGCATTGATACAGGCCCCTGGTGTCATCTCTTACAAACGAATTGCCCTTCGACGTCCCAAGCGGAGCTCTCCAGTTCATAAGAATTTCCCTACTGACGAGTCACCGAACAGATCAGACCCTGACGCTAAATCGTCCGACAGCTCTTCTTCGGCCGATGAAGCTGATTACGATGCCTCAGCTTCCATCACATGGGCTTCCAGACAAATTGGGCCTGAGGGTGGCGTGCTTCCTCCAGATTCAGTCTGTAAACCAGGTTTCAATTTTGATAAGGTACCTTGTTCCATTCAGAAAAGTTCTGTGATCGCAAGTGGTTTATTGGAAAGGTGTAAGGGTGATCGGGACCAGGATGGTGGTATCAATGGTGACCACATGATGGTTGGTTTACCAGCTGTTCTGCAAGACTCACGGACAATCAATTCGCGCTTCGTCGACCATGGATCATCTGATGCTTCGGGTATTGTGGTTGTCCCGAAGTACAACTTGTCCTCACAATATCCGGTTAACAATACACAAGAGGAAAGAGTAACGCTCTCAACGGAAGACCGCTGGCAATGTGTTGAAAGCCAGACAGACTTGGCAAGGGCGTCAACCCATGCAGATGATAGCCGATTGGCTAAACCTAATGAACCAGTAGTAACGCAGCGCGTGGACTCAGATTTTGCTGCGAGCCAACATAAACAACGCGATCCTACTGAAATCGATGAAACCAAAACAAACGTGAGCTCATTCTTGGTCTCACATGACCCGGTTGCAGCAACTCAATGCCCAGAGAAAGCATGCGCGACAAGCACTGTGTTGAGCACTTTTAGTGAGGAAATAAACGAAAGTAACGAAAGTAAACAGGACCAAAGGGCTATAAATCAGTTGGACGTTAGAGAAGACATGCACGGAGCACGTCTAAACTATAACACAAACCCAAACTATCTTGGAAACCAGCAATTTGGGACTTCACACATTTACAACGATCGCACACGAGAGATTGCCAGACAGAATGGTGAGTTCAAGCAAATATCTTTGTCTCTATCGAGTCAATTTTTCACCATTAGTTGAGTCCCCCACTTCCAGTGGTCTCATATAGACGGTCTGCCTTCGATGTAGATTATTGTCCGCCTTACCAACAGATTTTCTCAGTTACGCTAACTGAGGTCGTGTGACGGGATATCACAGAGGTTGACTTTTGTAGTTAACCAGGGTCAGAAAAAATAGACTGTTCGATAGTGTTTGACATGTGACCATCCTAGGTATCGTTTCTGTAATGGAGAGAGAGAGCAGTCTAAGGACAAAGTCGGTGCACTACTAAATGAGCACTTTACCTAGGACTTGCTAGTCTACTCTGTATGTTCACACGTTAGAATGACCTCCTAAATTGTATTTATGTTACACAACAATTAACTGCCAATGTTTCATCGTACTGATCTCTAAGATTTGGGCGCCTAAAACATGACACCTGAGATACAGTGCAGTAAACAGTAAAAACGTTGGCCTGACACTAAGAAATCGAAGTCAGTTTTCCACTAATAATTTTTCTAAACGTCGATTTCTTTCCGAATTGGACTATGAACTACTCATGTAAACACGACCTCCTTAAGCTCGCCAAATTTCGTTTAGAAACGACTGATTAGTTAACATGCAACAACACTAGCACTGTGCAGTAGGCGAGTAACAAAAATGACAAAGTGAAGGAGTTAAGCCTCCATAGGCTCTGGTTCTTGTGACTAGTAATCTCCTCGGCAGTTGATGCTGTCTTAGTTTCGAAGCCTCCGTCATTTCACCTATTCTGTGCAATGTAATGTTGCCTACAATATCGGAGTCACTGAGGGCAAAGCCGCTTGTTAGAGGCATTACTATCCCCCTCGGGTCAATGACCTGTAAATTCAGTACAGAGTCTCTAGTGTTTCCACTGCAGTAAGTGATCTATAGGCCAACAGTGCAGTTCGCACTGTGCACACTCTGTACCCAAGTAGGTAGCGCATCTAACAAAATGAAGCTGTAATTGATCAGCACAGGTAAGGCAACATTACGCGCACTAATATTGATGTGGTGGGCTATTCACTAGCGCAGGCCAGTTTTGAGACATGAATTCACTGCAAACTACCCATATACCAAAATCGGTAGTTGGAAAACTTTGATGATCCGTGGCTTTGAAACAAATGAACTGTCGATACGATGTCTTTATTTCGGGTTCTTTCCAGTCTTTCTGATAACACATAAGGTAAAACATGTTCAAGTGGACATGCTACTAAAACAGCTAGAATATGTCCATACTACTCAGGCCATTGCAGCTAATCCTGACCGCTTTGAATTAGTTATCGGCTTATGCGTGCCATTTGAATGGGCCGACCAAGTATGTGCAGAAAAAATCGTATTGTCGGGCTAAAAGGTGGAGAGTTTCAGATATTTTGGCATCGATTTTCGATGTATCGAGGATAGTGATTGTGGTTTTACCATGGGGGGAACCGGGGTAGATTTAATGAGTACATAGCAATAAGGCGCACTTGGGGATACCCAAAAAATTTCCCGAAGTTTTCATAATAAGTTGGATCTGAACATTGTTGTTCGATCGATCGTATATTTACATGGCCCATGCTTACATAAATTTTTTCTGGACCATGTTGTAGTACTGACAACACATTACTTGAACATCTTTGGCCAAATATGATTCACAGAGTGGGTGTTCACGATGCCTACAGGTGGCCACAACTCTCTACAGAAAACACTGAGGTTGCAAGCAGGTCGTTCCATCTCACATTATCCCTTAACAGCTGCTAATAGATAATCCCATAGAAAAAGCTTGAGTTATTATTACCACCGGAAATCCTCCTAAGACCTCCACATAGCATGCCTCTTGATAGATATAAACGTCAACTTGCTACATGACGCGTTACGTAGTTCTTTAGTAAGTCTACATAATACACAGCCCACCGTTCTAGGTGAAGCATCATGATCCGGGTTTGTCTCACTTGAAGCTTACGCAGTGGCGTGAAATATACGCAACTCCAGTTGTTGATCTTGGTCCCAGCAGGCGCTCAGTGCAAGCCGTAACCGTGCACTTCACAGGGAGAAGGAATCCAACAACGTCATCAAGATGGTGCAACGATCCCAAACAACCAACTTAATACGGATCTACGGTCACCTAGCTATGCCAACCAGGAATGTCTATCCGAACAACAAAATAAGCATCCTTTCACTGATGTGCCTATTACTTGCAACCCTTGTGAGATTCCCCACAAAGTTTTGTGTGGAAGCAGTAACATTATACAACAGCGATGTACTGCTGGTGTTGCACTGTCAGGCTGTCGAGCACAGGAGTCGAGAATTTGGCATGTCCACCTGAGATTAACCCCAGTAGCCAAAATTCAACCACATACTGATTTTGTCGCTTCGATTGGTGATGAGATGCTTGAAATCCAACTGCTAAGCTCGGAAAACAGACCAACAACCAAGAAGCGCATCCGAGCTACCTATACACCGCGACATCGTATGCGTAGTGTTAAGCAATAAAAACTAGTTAGATTGTAGTTCAGTGTTCTACAACAAACAGGTATGTGCTCACAGTAAAATCAAAACCAACCGGGGGAATAAGCCATCAAACTCTCTATAGATGCACGGTTTGATCGCACCCTTTGTTCAGATATCGATTTCGGCTAAGAGTTGATATGATTGTTTCGATGTAAATATGTCTTCCGAACTTTCGAAGTGGTCGCTGAAAGATTGCAGAATGTGGTCCAGAGCTGATCCAGACAGCGATGGAAACACAATATGTGGCTGAGCTGTAGAGTGTTACTGGACTGGACGACGCATGCATAATGGTAGAAAAATCAAGTTTCTTACTCATTGTTGGACGAACTGCACCTAGCTACTTTGTGGTCGAACTGACCACTACTTATTCATAAAGGCTTGTGGGTGGTTGTGCCCGGAAGTTTACACCGTACATCAGGTAGTGCACTCATTGGTTTGGCTCGCAAACCTGGACTGGCGCTCCAGGCCTTGCTTGCGGTGAGTGTTCGTTGGTATGTTTGTACCAAGTTAAGATAGCTCGCAACGAGTGGGGCGTCGCTCACATCAACGGTGAATGCGAATGTTTATGCTGTGCCGCATACTGCTTGTAACGTTCGCTATGACCCTTCTAAGTAGATGTCGCTGAGCGTTAGATCTCGTTCAACGTTTGGATTGATGCATTCAAAAGGCGGACTCTGGCTTCTGTTATTACCCGTTACCGGAACACCATTGATGCTCCATGCACGTTCTCATGCACGGAGCAACAACGACGGTAATTAAAATAGCCGGGTAGTCCGAGTTGCTGCGTCTATTTCAGTAATGCTGTCAGTCAAGCATGACCATTGAATGTGCCGTTCTGAAGATCGGACGCCTGCCTTTCTAAGGAATGTACTCTATGAAGAACCATTTTCATTTTGTTGCCTATATCCAATGATATTATTTATTCACCTTTCCTGAGTTCACTTGTTTCGCCGGTTTTCGTGAGGGATGATGGATGATGCTTATTAGGAGTTTATGCTGATCTGGCTGGGAAGACTGTCTTGATACGCCCTATACTGACAAAGGCCAAATGTCCGCACGGGTCTCTCATGAAACATGGTTTCACTTACGTTCCGGGAGAACAGACTAATTAGCGAATCTGTAAGCATTACAGTCACTTCCCCCTGTCTGGTGCGCATCATCAAGGTTTTGCAGTCTTGCAAAAGATAAGTGCTGAGTGAGTACATCTTATACACATTGATGTTTAGCGTCAAATTGCAATAAAGATTTTTTTGTGTCGGTCGATGCATCTATTTTATTCATTGGTTCTTATCACACTTCTTCAAACCCAGTAACTCCATGAAAACGAGTGTCATAAAATTGTTCCTGTACTGTGAAATTCCCTTTAAATGTTAGAATATTGTAATGATGTCACATGTGTTAGCTCAAACGCACGTCAACTTCTCTCGCAACTGTGCGTTCAATAGGCGGCATGCATCCGCCCAGCTTACAAAGTCGCACCTTCTACCTAGTTAACAACTGATAATCGCAAACCTGGTAGGAACAACCTAGCTACCACAGTTTATAGTCCACTGGGTGAGTAATGCTTGGTTACGCCCTTTTGTCTTGCAAGTAATCACCGTGTGCACAGATGCATCAGTAACAGGGTTAATGGCAGTAAAATCGATGTTGGTGGATAGTACAAACTTTAAATGCTGCCTTTTTTATCGATGAACTGAAGTTTGAGGTAGGTTTTCGGACAGCAATATAAAGAAGATGCAACCAGCGTACAATGCATCGGGTGAGATCCTTACAAATGTGATCTTTATTACACTGAAGTTCAGAATTTTATACCGAGTTTAATCTTCATCTCTGTAAGTTTATTTATGCAGACAATACAACGAATTTTCAGGGCACATTTTCCATACTAAACCCACTGCGAATTTCACATCCATGAATACACCATACTTCCGTGCATCTGAACTACGTGCATATACAGAACCAGTTTCCCTGCTCGATACAAGGATTTGCTTCCACTTTCCTAATTACCATTGAGCATATCTATTTCGTTGCTATTGAATTTCAAATTTCATGGAGAAACAACTCAGCAAACGTCAAGAGTATCCATTTTTAGATTTTCTGGGCAGTCACTATCGTAACAGATTAGCCATAGTGTTTTCGCGCTCTACTTTGTGGTCAGATTAATCCAGTTTTTTCCAGCAAAAGCATCTCACATAACGTGAGCGGATTTGTGCGCATAGCCTTTTGTCAATTGTTCAATAAACTTTCTTCATCCTAGTTTCAGTTCAAGCTGGCAAATTCCACCGGGTGAAAAGTCTTAGAGAATAACGTGCTATATTACAGCTATTTCACAAAAATGCGACAGGGCCAGTGGCATTTTCGGATACATAGGCTAAACTCATACTCATAAGATTAGTCACTGGTCGCGCTTTCGACTACGAACTCGAGAAAACCAACTGAATTCGATCGAGCTGAGGATAAGGTAGTCTTGCGAAA